AATAAAGATTTCCCTAAATAAACTGAGTATCTGATAATGAGATCGGCCCTTTAGCGTCTAGCTGTACGTATTTATCGCCTTTCAAAGTATCTCATTTGAAAATCTTCCCATAAATATATCGGAGCTACTGATCTATCAGACGCGTTCAGAACATGTCTTAGACTGGCTCGGCAGCAACTAACAAAGAAATTGCGTCTCACCCTTCAGTGCTCGACGTTCTTAACTGGGATGTAGCTGTGATTTTTATCTGCCCCACAACATTGTTTTTTCGGCACTATATTGCTGGCAAACCAGTTGAGATATCGCAATGAAAAAATTATCTGCTTGTTCGGGAGTGCTGTATGAGTTATTTTGGTTGTTTATTGATAAAAATTGGAAGTTTGAATAATTCTTGCATTATATTTTTAATCACGCCATATATGTACAATCGAGCTCAAGAACCCTACGCGTGAAACGCGCCACATATGTCCAGTTGGGTGTATGACACTGTAATGCAGCTCCAGAACATAACTATTTGTTTGATAGTCGGTAATTCCTCGTAGTCATAACTCTGGTAATATAATATTGCCTGTTAATTTTAATATGGTCCCGGGTTCATTCATAATTTCGTTTGCATATTAAAATGCTTAGTTGAAATAACAACTGACCTAAACTAAATGGAACTGATTAGGCTTTTGAAACTAGTCAATTTTATATAATTGCTTGCTATGTTAGCGGTGAGAGTTAGCTGAACGTATCAACGTATTTCTTGTTATATAGAATCGTTTACTGGAGTGCAATTAAATTGTTTCACTCAAGCAGAATACGTCAAAGCAAACTAGAGCGCCACATCACTACTGCCTCTCCTATATATAGGGACCGAAAATACAATTGATTTGATTATGACAGTGTTCTTGATGAAAACTTTTCAGTCTGTTAGAGACTGTTGCAAACAAGATTGAGAAGAAAGTCATCGAGCTATTGAGGATGAACCGCTTCTGTAGTCCATTCCTCTGAATTTGAATATTTTTTTTTTAAGAACCCATTAAATATTTTCCGTAAGGGTGCACTGAAGAAATCAGCAAGAACATTGTTCGATAAAAGCCAAAAGCCATGCACATGGCAGTTCGGGCGCATGATTCATGCGCTAGAGGTAGTGCTTAATTGTCATACATTAGACAAAGTCGTACGTACAGTCCTACGCTGCAGCAACGCTAAGTCGTGCGCAACAGTCCTACACTGCCGGGACTTGCATGCCCGGGCTTGCACATGACATTCAGTGGGGCACGCAGTCCTATCCTGCATACTGGGGCGTACATAGCAGTCCTGCACAGGCTGTCGGGCACGCACGCAGTCCTACACGACATGCAGGGTCACGATATCCTACACTGCATATGCCGGGGTGCACACGAACTGCCTCGAAGAAACTGCCCTATCTTCAGCTTACGAAAATCGGTTAATTCTAACAGACACCATGATGCGTTGTGAGCAAACAAGGAAATTTCAAAAACACGTGGTCGTTTTTCTTTAGAAAATAACGAGTCGGAATATATGAAAAAAGAAAGGATGAATACTATATGACAAGAATTAAGTAAGGCACCTCCACATGCGTGATGTTGATTATTGGCACGTACAGAATTTTTCGAACGAGCTACAATATAATGTGTTTCAAACAAACGATATTCGCAGAAAATTTTAGCATATTATTTTCATATTATTTCATTTTTTCAATTTTTATCTGTGATTCAAGCAATCTAGTGACATTATTTTCATTCAGTTGTTAATTAATCTGCATACTACCAGTTTTTTTGGAGATATTACTTATTTCGCTCATGTGTGAAGCTCATTCGTCCAACTGTCCAGATATGTCGCCTTTAGTTTCAGTCGGCGCTACGACCACGTGGACAGATATCTCGTCTTTCCCATTTTTTACAATGAATAAATTTTAACAACGGGTAATAATTTTTCATTGTAATTAAAAATATGTCTCACAGAACTATTTCACATAAAGTTTTTTTGTAGCTATGTAGAATTCGGGTGTTAAAATGTTAGAATGGATCGCAAACACCAAGCAAAGGAGTTCTTTGAACACGGACTTAATTAGTTTCTCGCTCCTTTTTTAATCCTCATCAGACTGAAAAATTTTAAGCCGTTACAGTCGTATCGAGTGTAGGTACATTTATATCTATGCAGTTCTACAAGCATTAAATGAAAACAGGAATGAAGTTCAAGATCAGAAGGAAAGCGTTGCACATGAATAAATTCGTTACATTCATCGAGTCCCTGTTGCAATCAAAAAGAAATTTCAATTAATTATGGTAATTAGGGGCGAGTGGGCATTTTTTGGCTCGTTGGGCGGATAATTACTCCAGTTTATTCTCTGCGCAACGTGTATTTTTGAAAACGAAAACATCAGAATTTCAATAAATTTTCCTAACAGATTATTCTTTGTCAAACATCGCATTATGAAACGTTAAGTTCTAAGAAAATAATCTTTAGAGAGAAGTCAATATTTTGATAGGTGATAAATTTTCTCGCAGTTTCAAATTTTACATTTTACCAATTATACAACGAAAAAATACGATTGTAAAATTCAAATTGAGAAGCTGGCTCTTACAAAAGCCTTGAATATTCACTGCTTGAGAAAAATTGACACCTGCACCTGAACAAATTCGGAAGGTAAAGACCAACTTACTTGGAGTTCGCTGGGCAGCGCAGAGCTGCGCAGTTCTGATAGACACAGCCAGGTTCTGATCGATGACTGGGCACATTTTCTCCCAAATCCAAGAGCTTTGGCGAGAGAAAAAATGACATCACTAACAGCGTGAAGTCAGTGAGATAACATTTTTGATCAATCTTAAACTTGAGACATTTTCGGAATAGAATTATTTTCTTGCATAGTTTTGTTCCCATTTGAAAGTACGATCCTTGTTGTACACATCCTTATATTCTTATTCTCGAGTGATGCATTCGGAATTGCTGACTGCAAATGAAATGGTTGCATGAACGTGATTGAAGATTGTGGCTTTATGATAACTAGCAATTCACGAAGTTGGGGCGTTGAGTAGCTAAAGTTATAACAGTTTTCGCAACCATATTCACCCAACATTTTAATATGATTATACAAGAAGTAGCTAAGTAAAGTTGAAATTTTTTAAAACTATAAGATAGAAATCGTTGTGTTCAATAAAATAAATAAAAAAATTTTAAAAACCACGTTTTCTTAACGGACGAAAAAAGAAAAACATTTACTCTTACATAACATTTAAGTTATGTAAAATGTTACGTAATGTTATGTAAGAGTAAATGTTTTTCTTTTTTTATCCGTTAAGAAAAGTGGTTTTTAAAATTTTTTTTATTTATTTTATTTCACTATTTTTAGTTTTATAAAAACCAGAAAAACGTGGTTTTTAAAAATATTTTTTTTATTTATATATTTTCTACTTTTTAGTTAGCAATTTTAGCAATTCAAATCAATTTCCAGGGTTGGCAAGTGTGGATGTTCGAGAAAAAACTCAATTACAAACCGTGAATTTTTAGTGTTTTTTTTACTTGTTAATTTTTTTTTAATTTTTTAAATTATAATTTCTGATGACCAAACTTGAATTTTTAGGCAGCATAAACATGCATGCCAAATTTCAACTTATTAGGATGTTTAGAAGTACTCTAAATTAAGGTTTGAATTTTTGATGACAGACACACACGAAACGAAGTCAAGAAAAACGTGGTAATAATAACATGTGCATCGGTTAGAAAAGAGTAACGATGATTCATTTCTCGGTGCGAGGTACTGGAGCTGAAAAACTTATGATCACAATCAATATCTGTTGATATTGGCTCTGCAGGTCAGTGCAGACTAATTTAGAGTATCTCTTCAATATTTTACTTTAAACTGCTGAATGTTTCGAGTAATTGATCAAAATTATAAAAGATTTATTATATATCTTTTAAGTGGATGCAGATTACCTGCTCCAACGTCCAATAATTTACTGCAAATTTTTTAGTTAAATTCGGAATTTATAATTTTGTTAATATGTACGGAAAACTTGCATTCATAATTTTAGAACTTCTATTAAATGTGAAATTATACATTGTGGAATCTTTGAATTATACTGCGCTACGAGCTTACAGTGTAATTTCCTACCTCTCCATTGAGTCGTATATTCCTGAGACATCCTTTGAAGTAGTATTGTTTATCGCCATTATTCTCGTGCAATGCATCACTGGAACTTGCGTCCATGGCTCCGAGTTGCAAAGGCGCGCCTCTTGTGTTGAGTTGTCCAGTCAAATCTTGCGCGTGCACAGCATTTCTGCAGTAGAATTGTTTGGACGGTCCGGGACCGCGGTCTTCTTCTAGGCCGGGACCGCGGTCTTCTTCTAGGCCGGGACCGTGGTCTCCTTCTAGGCCGAGACCGCGGTCTTCTTCTGTTGTATTTTCAAGGGGCTGTACTACGCAGTTGTCGATGATCATCTCAACCGTCTGGGGATTATGTACAGACTCATGGAAAAATTTATTGATTGTATCAAAAATAAGGATAGCTTTATATAAATAAAAAACTCAAAAAAATTAAATGTATTAGGAAAGAAAATTTGTAGAATTTTTTTATCAATCACGAAATATTACGCGTTGAAAAACGATAATTGAAATAACCAAATACCATAAAAAATACCAATTTTAGAAGCTGATTCACGGAGAGGGCTTTCTGTGCTAAGAAAGCCCTAAGCTTTTTATTTGCTAAGCTTTTAGTGGGAATAGCAGTGCACAGCGTAATTTCCTGATTACAAAACTTTTACTAACGCTCTGTGAAATTCAAAGCGTGGCTCAGAATGATTGTTGCTTTAAAAAGGGGACGACAAAAATACGGAATAGTTACTGTTATCAAGATGGTTCAAAAAATGGTCGGTCTTTGGTTCTACAATTACATTGATGGTATTGGTATGAATACCATTAGAGCAATTATAACCAGTGCTAAAAATATAATGATTAGAAATAAAAATTCGAATTAATCGAAAACACGTACCTTATTTCGCCAGAAAATGTCCACACGATGCCACCGTAGGTCTGCTAGAGAAGTATTGACGCTCACGTCAACAGCGGCCGAGTTGAGGGACAAACGAAAAAGCGGCTTTCCTTCTGTTAGTTGAAGTACCAGACCCACTCTCCTATTTCCCTGTTTCTCAACACTGGAGAGTACGGTTCCATTCTTTGAGTCGGTGAGTAAAAAGAAGCGTAGCTGAAGTTTTGAGCAAGGGTTTAAAGGTCGAAGCCAAAGCCATGACCCAGAGCCTCTCGCATCGCTCCCGGCAAAGTGCCGAGTCAGGATTTTGCAACGAGGCCCAATCGTGTGGTCCGGGCAGACGCACCTGCCAACTCGCGAGAAAATAACCAAATATAAATTCGCATCGCATTTTACCTTTAATATTCCCAATTATTAAAATCAGGGTGCTGCTGGTCTTGAACGATACTAAATCTTTTATATCAGGTGGCAAATAATAAAAAAAAATTAAAAAGAGAATACAATTTTCACAAGTCTCGATGCTTGCAGCTCTTTACTAAGAAATTTGTATATAAAACTCAATAAAACTCAAGGATTTAACGTTCTTAAAATATTTTACCTTCCATATCTGTTCTAAGAAAGCCGGATTTAATTGTTAATTTGAACTCACTTGTATCCAGGAGCTGAAGGCAGGCACTTGCCTCCATTAAGGCAGGTATTTTCATTGCAATCAACAAGTTTTCCGTTGACGCGCTTGTTCCTCATAGCGTGAGCATAAGGCGCTCGGGTCGCCGCCCCTTCTTGCCTTTGATCGTTCAAGGATTGCTCGCCTGCAAGCCTGGGAGATAAACCTGATGTTCCGCCAATCTGATCGTCCAATGTTGGGTTCACTTCACTGGCCGTCGAATTACTTATGCATTTGCAATTGGAGTCTAGGCTCAGGATCGGACCGACAAAGGTGGCAGTCAGAGTCTGAGTTATTGAGTAGCCTTCAGACAAGACCGTGCGGGGACTGCAGCAACATTCGCAAGACCTGCCGCAGTCTAGAGTGCCTGCTCTGCTCATCCCAGACCCCAGAATGCTCAGCCCGAGGTGCTCTTCTATCTGTGCCAATATTTGTAGTATCATAAAACATCAGGAAGCATTTCCAGACTTGAATATTGTTCATTGGATAAACAGGTCGATCATCAAAATAAAATCAAGATTATAAATAAAATCTAAGTTGCAAGTTGGTTCAAGCAGAATTTATTTATTAAAAGGTGCTCTTCTATCCGTGTAAATATATGTTGTATCATAAAACATCAGGAGGGATTTCCTTCCTTGAATATTTTGTTCACTAGATGAACTGGTCGATCATCAAAATTAATTTAACACTAAAAATAAAGTCTATGCATGTTGGTGCAAACAAAATTTATTTTACAAAAAGGTATGAATGGTATATTTCAAAAATATATTTCATCACATTTGAAGCTGGAGAAATCCAAATTGGTGACTTCCGAACAATTGAACGAACCTGTGCTTTATTCAAAGCGACAAACAATTCTAAAGACGTTTTGGTAGAGTCTGCGAGCCAGACTCTGGAGACATGTTCGTCTGAGTTTTGTCGGATTCCTTCTAGCGATACAACTTTAACCGAGGGAGTCCTGGGTTCATGAGTCAAAAATTCAGCGGCTGTCAAATTCAAAGAGAATCCGTGACTTGCGCGCCATCTTAGTCGAGTGAGAGTCACCTCGAGTGCATTGAGAAGTGAAGTGCCAGTCTATTGGGAACAAATGCAAACGGTAAAAATTATGACAGAAACCCACAACGCGGTTAAATTATAACAGGTCTTGTATGATGCTTATTCATTCTAAATGCAAATAAAAATTGAATAATTAATTTTTGCCGATAACAGGTTAGATTATTACGGAATAAAATAACAAGACCTGCGTGGTGTCGATCAACGCCGCGGGTTTAGCCGCGACATCTATAGGCGTGCTGTGGAGCGCCTGGTGCCTCGCCTGCCGCCCCACGGCCACGTTGAGGCTCGCCTGCACGTCAGGCGCAGGCGGCTCATAAATAGCGATGCTCAGACCGTAGCTGCGGGGAGATGAGTAACAGAGCGATGAAATATATATGTTATTATTGTATAAATATAGATTTAAAAAATCGGGCACGACTGGGGTAGAAGTTAATGTGTGCAACTGCATCATAGGAGCATGAGGATGTCTGAAGTTGATTTATGAATGCGTTAGGATGAGAGAAAATGTTATTTGCATAAAATATGTAGGAATTAGATTATAGACGTAAGCATCAATCTATTGAAAGAATCGTAACCTACGCAGTCGATAGAAAAAATAAATTAGCGTAAAATAATTGCAAGTGCTGATTCTTAAAAATAAGTCCATAAATCTCATCATGATATAATACACCGTAAAAATCAAAAAACAAATTCAATGTCTGGAAAGTTAACTGTTTGTGTTTATCTGCCAGAAGAAATTGGAGCCGAACAAACCGAGACCTGGTATTTTTTGAGCGACAAAATAATGTTACTGATAATAAAGTTGGCTGTACTCACCTGCCAGAAGGAGTAGCAGCTTCAGCAAACAAGTTTCCTGATCTTTTGTCCAGCACAAAATACTTGTGGGACCTCGACCAAGAATATTCTGCTTTAGACTCTTTTGAGGAAACTGAGCCTAGAGGAATGGCTTGTCCGATTTCCATCTCAGACTGTAAAAGAATTAAAAATTAAAACGGTTGGAATCAATGAACTGTGTTGTTGTGAAGAGCAACGCGAAACGTACATTGATAACACGCGGTTAATTGCGCTCTGGACAACCTCGGGAAAATTAATATGGAAGTATATAACTCTTCTGCTAGGAGACAATGAATCATTTCTCGTCACTTTTCAAAAAAAAAAAATATTTTCTCCGTATATAGGATTCGAATTGCACACCATTAGGAAAAATTGTTTGGTATTGAAATACTGAATAACTAAGCCTATTAAATTAAAAATGCGTAAGTAATAAATAATTTGATTGAATTTCATTCAATCTTTAATCTGGGATTTGCGTACGTTGAGAACAACAAGAGTGACGTCCCTGACAGCTATGGGGCTGTCCTCGCTGACGACGGCGATGGTGAGGGACACGGTGCCTGTCATGGCGGGCCGCCCCCCGTCAACTGTCAGCACCGGCACCACCAACGACGCCGGCGCGTCCATGTCGAGGCGGCGCTTTATTTTTATGCTGCCTATGCCGCCCNGCCAGCGGAGTCTGGAGCCGGGCAAGAGAGGAGGGTGTGAGGTTATTTTTATGCTGCCTACGCCGCCCGCGGAGTCTGGAGCCGGGCAACAGAGGAGGGTGTGAGGTTATTTTTATGCTGCCTACGCCGCCCGCGGAGTCTGGGGCCGGGCAACAGAGGCGGGTGTGAGGTTAGATTTTTTTAAATATCGGAAAATTGGGCTGAATGATGCGTTTAAATAATTAAACAATTGCAGTTATGTGAGATCAGAAGTTAAATGCACAAATTTTGATTGACATATGATGCTATTAACGACTAGTAATATTTGGTGATAGAAAAGCAGCAGGAGCTCGCCATAAGTCAAATAGATTAATACATAGTGACAAGAAAAGTAAAACTACGAGTAACTCTATAATTATCGCATAAAGTAAACGTAAACAGTAATTCCATGTGCAAATAAAATAAATAATTGTCACATTAAATTGTCATATTAGAGTATAAAACAAATTGACCACACCAGTAAGTAAAATATAAGTATTACAATATGGTTTTAGATTGCACGTCTACAAAAAGGCAAATAAAGAAATAGTGATGAATAGAATGTTATCGTTATATCTTCTGAATTTTATCGGTTGTAGTTCTATGCAGCAAATTGAATATATAAGATCCATGTAGAAAATTCCAAAATGACTGATTTAGCGGAAGAATGATCACCGAAACAATTCAAATTATGGATAATACCTTCGTATAGGATGAACATAAATGACACAAATAATATTCACCTCTCTTATATGCGACGCTGACGGCCTTTCTTATGAAGCTTGGAGCCCTTGGATCAAGCTGGGCGGAGAAAGGAGGTCCATGGCCAACACTCCAAGTATGGGATGAACACAAATGCCACAAATGATATTCACCTCTCTTATAGGCGACACTGACGGCCTTTCTTATGAAGCTGGGAGCCCTTGGATCAAGCTGAGCGGAGAAAGGAGGTCCATGGCCAACACTCCAAGTATAGGATGAACACAAATGCCACAATTGATATTCACCTCTCTTATATGCGACGCTGACGGCCTTTCTTATGAAGCTGGGAGCCCTTGGATCAAGCGGGGCGGAGAAGGGAGGTCCATGGCCAACACTCCAAGTATGAGATGAACACAAATGCCACAAATGATATTCACCTCTCTTATAGGTGACACTGACGGCCTTTCTTATGAAGCTGGGAGCCCTTGGATCAAGCTGGGCGGAAAAAGGAGGTCCATGGCCAACACTCCAGTCGTCGGGGTCGGTCAGGTTAAAAAAACTCGTGAAGCCATCGATGTTTTTTCTGTGCACGTTCACGTACGTGGGACCCGTGAAGATGGGGGCGTTGTCGTTCACGTCGTCGATTTCAACCTTCAATGTGTGTGAAAGAAAATATTGATATAAAATTGGCATATCATGCATTATGAATGAAAAATAAATCTCATGTAGAAAATTATCACTTTTCTTGAATTGGACAGCAAAAAAATTATCTAAATACAGTGATATATGAATTGTTTTGGTGTTGTTGGCAATTGAAATATATGTTAATCGTAACAGCGAATATATTTATATTTTTAGTAAGCTTTATTCCAGCGAAAATTAGATTTAAGTTTAATGCTGTAATTGAGAAGTCATCGTAATTCGGAAATTAATACAGCCACTTGGCTTGTTGGAGTTTTATTCTTGCCAATGTTCTTTCATTCTTAAGAGATAATATTAATCTCGAATGTTTGAACGTTGACAAAGTTCGACGATTCACGCGGAACTAAGTCATTAATATGTTGAAATATTGAAGATCAAGTGTTCTGTTAAAGAATGACTTGATATTTACAGTCTTGCCGCTTGCAGTTTTGCCACTCGCAGTCTTTCCACATACAGTAATGCCACTTACAGTCTTGCCACTCACAGTCTTGCTATTACAGTAATGCCACTTACAGTCTTGCCACTTACAGTAATGCCACTTACAGTCTTCTTGCCACTTACAGTCTTGCCACTCATAGTCTTGCCACTCACAGTCTTGCCACTTACAGTCTTGCCACTTACAGTCTTGCCACTTACAGTAATGCCACTTACAGTAATGCCACTTACAGTCTTGCCACTTACAGTCTTGCCACTCATAGTCACGCCACTCACAGTCTTGCCACTTAAAGTAATGCCACTTACAATCTTGCCAATTACAGTAATGCCACTTACAGTCTTGCCACTTACAGTCTTGCCACTTAAAGTCTTGCCACTTACAGTCTTGCAACTTACAGTCTTGCCACTCACAGTCTTGCCACCTACAGTCTTGCCACTTACAGTCTTGTCACCTACAGTAATACCACTCACAGTCTTGCCACTTGCAGTCATGCCACTTACAGTAATGCCACTTACAGTCTTGCCACTTACAGTCTATGCCACTTACAGTCTTGCCACTTACAGTCTTGCCACTCATAGTCATGCCACTCACAGTCTTGCCACTTACAGTAATGCCACTTACAGTCTTGCCTCTCACAGTCTTGCCACTTACAGTCTTGTCACCTACAGTAATGCCACTCACAGTCTTGCCACTTGCAGTCATGCCACTCACAGTCTTGCCACTTGCAGTCTTACCACTTACAGTCTTGCCACTTACAGTCTTGCCACTTACAGTCTTACCACTTACAGTCTTACCACTTACAGTCTTGTCACTTACTGTCTTGCCCTTTACAGTCATTCCACTCACAGTCTTGCCACTTGCAGTCATGCCACTCACAGTCTTACAACTTACAGTCTTGCCACTCACAGACTTGCCACTTACAGCCTTGCCACTTACAGTCTTGCCACTTACAGTCTTGCCACTTACAGTCTTGCCGCTCACAGTCTTGACACTTACAGTCTTGCCACTCACAGACACTCACAGTCTTGTCACTTACAGTTACAGTAGCGGACGACTGGCGTGGCGGCACTCCGTGGTCAGTGGCATGAACCACTACATTACATTACAGTTTTGCCACTCGCAGTCTTGCCACTTACAGTCATGCCACTCACAGTCTTGCCACTTACAGTTACAGTAGCGGATGACTGGCGTGGCGGCACTCCGTGGTCAGTGGCATGAACCACTAGGCTGTGCTTGCTGATGGCCTCTCTGTCCACTAGGCCGATGGTCCTGATGGTCCCTGTGTGGTCGATGCCGAAGTGAGGACTCGATCCTCTCCTACCAGCGAGGCTGTAGCGAACCAAGCCATTCCTGTTCTGTGTTCTCGACATAAAGCGGTTCTGCGTTGTATTCTTGTAGTTAATGCAGTCAGGAAAGAATGCTTGAGGTTAATGCTTAGGAATTATGAATAAATTGAGATTACGGGCAGAAATAAATATCGCTGGAAATATATATGTATGTGTTGATTGTGCTATGGCATTAATTACATTTATGTATTAATCTATTAGATTAATAGATTATTATTAATCTTTTATGAAATTTATTACACCATGTTATTTGCCCAGCAGAATATAGAGTGAATGAGTGAATATAGAATAACTGAATGAACCGTTTCGAAAGTTACTACTCAAGGAAATCTTAAAAGAAGGAAGGTTTTAATTAATCCGCGTCAAAAGTTACGCTAGAGCAAGTTTGACACTGTCGTTTCTACTATTTTAAATTATATTAGCATTTCCCTTATTCAGCAAAACCGAGTATAAGCTAACGCAACCAAATAAACATTTAGCGATTCGCCTCTATAGAAGAACTCAAGTATCCCTCGTTTGCTCACCTCGTCCAGATCGAAGGCAGGCACTTTTGCCACCACCGTTCCAAGATGCGCGTCTTCGCTGATCCGCACGCTTTGCTGTACATTTTCGAATGAAGGAGCGTTGTCGTTAACGTCTAATATGCGCACTATGACGGTCGCTTCGCCCACCCTGTACTTGTTCTCCCATGCATCCGTTCCCTAAGACAGGCAAAAAAAAAAAAATTAAAAACCATTCGGATGGTATACCTTGAACTTCGATCTTTATACCTTATTCATTTCCACCATCCAATAAACTTGGATAACCTAGAGTAAGAAGAGCAAATGTAATCGACCGCCAGAGTTGAATGCATGGTGTGAAGTCAAGAGGAAGCATGTAGGTTTGCATTGTTTAGCATATCGTTCTTGCAAATATCATACATAAACAATATATTTCTTGATTTTATATCTCAAACATCTTCTTTACATAATAGTACGTAAGAACTTGGTTGCATTGCGCGTTAAATCTACGTCTACGAAGACGATTCTTTAAACAAATTAATAATAAAAGAAAATTGCCGAAGCGTTGAGAAATAAAATCAGATTACATGAATGTGTACGAATGATATTCGCATAATCAAGTTACGGGGCTGAAATAGCGATTTTTTAGAGAACAGAATGATTGAATTATATTGTTTACATTGTATCATTTCTATGAAGCGGAGTTTCAGTGACTATCATATGGTCAATCCTATTTTATAATCTTAATTTCTTAAGGGGGAGGTCTATACTCCGGAAATTTTTTTTTTGTTTACGGACAGATCACTCTGAAACTTGGTACACATATGTAAAACAGAATTCGAAGACATTTTTGTTCGTGTGATTTTTTCGGAAAAATTCATAAAAACGTGAAATTCATAGAAAACGGACAAAAAGGGGGTACTGTAGAAATCTATCTCCTCCTAGGGTTTTGAAGCTACAGCGATGAGACATATACCATTCTATTTGTAAAGACCATATCAATCGAGTAACGAAGCCCGATTTTTTATTTTTGCCTTAGTTCTTTTTTACATGTATTTTTCCATTTTTTTCATTTTTTCTCATTTCCCCCCCTTCTCCCCCATTTTGAATCCAAACTATGCACAAATCCAAAAAAGGCTTCGTTCCTCGATAGGTATGGTCTTTACAAATAAAATGGTATATGTCTCATTGCTGTAGCTTCAAAACTCTAGTAGGAGATGGGTTTTCCGTGACAAAAAGTTGAACTTTTCAGGACAGCGCGACAAAGGTCCGCGCGCCTTGAAATAGACACTCAATGTAGCATAGAGACCAAACTACAGGCTTCTGTAGCCTAATTCCCCTCAAGGAAGCTAGCAGCGACTTGCAGCACACGTCTCCATACGAAGCGAACAGGGTAACTGAGCCTTGATGCCAGATACACCAATATATGTAGTCTTAGCGAGTGAATTAAGTCCTATCTATTTACTGAAGGAAATCCACCCCCCGCCCCCCTTTGAAGAACAGCCGTGTGCGTACAAATTCACTTACAGCGATCGCAATAGTACCGTTGAAAAGCTCAAAATGTCAGCTTTAAGGTGAGACTAAGCATGTAACTGCAGCGCAACTTAAGTAGAAACTATATTTGAAATGCTCAGCAGCTAATTATCTTGTATCTAATTACTGAAGAAACTCCCCCACCCGCCCCCCTTTAAAAAGCCGTCATGTAAGTAAAAATTCACGTAGAGGGATCTCAGTTGTATCATTGGATAGGGCAGAATGTCAGCTTCAAGATGAGACTAAAAACCGAAAATGCCAAATCCGAAAATTTTAGGGTAGACCTCCTCCTTAATTACCTGATCGGTGACTTGAACTTGGAATCTCAAGCCGTCCTTTAGGTCAGGGTTTTCATAATCAAGAGGAACCAGACTCCTGAGCTCAGCGCCATCACCAGCTGTTCGCCCTTCTATTTTCACCATCTGCCAGCCCCTCCCACTATCCGGAGCTACCTGAAGGAAAATATGTAAAAATTATGTTTAAAAATTTTAAAGAGACCATTGAAAGAAAAAATGAAATGCGCTTGCTTGCGTTCTAAAGCATGAAACATATGTTGAACAAAACAATTCTGTTATTCGAACCACAGTTTCAACTCTGATGGCAGAATATGAAGAATAGCAGGACTGAATATTACAAAAAATTGATTCTCATCCCAACACAGACAAAATGCCCAGCTTGTTGCTTTAAAACTCTCTTAATGAAATATGTATGTGTCTGTCCTTCACATCAGTGAAGGACAGACACGGTTTCTCTATCCCATCATGTCAAAATATAAAAATATGGTAAGTTTCGGTGCTTTATCATACGGCTAGAAAAATGAAAACGACAATATATCCATCAGCCCTGAGCATTGACACGAGGCCTTATTTGCTCGTGATATTCAGCTATATTTGAGGCCTGTAGGAAAATGCACCGAAAATTTTCAGGTCACAGAATATGAAAATTGAAGTTCAGAAATTGAAGAGATCTCGGTGTAATGATATTCACAGCGACGGTTGGGAATTGTGTTATTGTGTAGGCAAATGTTGTACGGAAATTCAAGGAAACAAATTTTTTGCCTTGGCGTATTGAGAACTGAGAACCATTGGAACAAATTTTTTTGAACATTGATGTAAATGTGGCATCATTGAACAGCCCTGGAGCTACATAAAAGATAGAGAAATGCGTCGTAGGAGGACGATGGCCGGGACATTTCCAAGTTTGTCAGCCCGCCACCAAGACTTGTTTGTGAAAGTAATTAACTAAATTATTGAATAAATGCTACCTAAAATGGCATACCCTCCTTCGAATTTTATTCCCGATTACATTATCACGTAGGAGAAAATCCTGAGACAATTATCTAAAAAATATAACTCAATACTCACTGCAGTGAGTGACAGAGAGCGCATTTTCTTGTCGACGAAAACGTGAAGTCACGGACAGACGGACGGTCAGACAGACGGACAGACAGACGGACATGACGTGCACAATAAGGCATTTTTTCAATAAATGAGAAAATGCGCTAAAAAGTAATTATTTAAATTTGTAATCACTTGTCAGATCTCTATGTTCATTGTATCAAAACTGTATAAATTTTATTAAATTATAGCATATCCCGAAAAAAAAACTGGGAACACTTTAATTCGTGGTCATTAAAGTTAAATGCCGTAATTGCCCTAAAACCCTTTGATGCAATTTCTTATTCGCATAGAACTACTCGTACGGAAAATTTCTTATAAAATTAAAGAATTCAAAATTTTTCTTACCGCCAAATCCTTTAACAAATTTTAAAATTCAAATTCAGAGGGAAACTCATCATTTCGAGACCGCATTAGAATATCATCGCTTCATTTAATGTTGACAGAAAATTAGTAGCTCCCTTACTAAACCGAGTTAAATTACTCGTATGCGACAGGTAACTCGTTTCTATAATATAAAAATTGGAAACACATAAAAGTTACTCTTCGATCAACCTAATTCGTGCAGAGAAATATTGTAGTTGAATGCAGAAATGAATACAAATTAATTACGTATATGGTGCCATCTAAACTGTATTTGACTAGAAACTTCTCCACGGCCACTACAGTCATTAAGGTCTGCAACGAATTGGAATCAATTAAAGCTAATTATTGCTCATAGACCGAGCAGGCCTTGAAGAACTGAGCCTCTACAGCCTCAGACATCGCGCACCAAGTTTAGTTTGAACATTGCTCGACATAATTATTCAAATGCGGTACTTCCAATCTCATTAAGGAACAGATTAATTTAATTCATCATCAACGTTCGTCACTGTTTATTAAATTGAACAATTCGGATGAGTAAATATTTGAACGGCACAAATTCTGGTAGGATTGAACAAATCCACGGAGATGACTCCTAAGATTTAAGTATCTCTGCATACAAAAGCTGTTTAACACGTTGACTACGAAGTGGTACATATGCGTACCACGAAATGTATTTCTTCAGGACGTAGTGGTACATAATCCAGGTTGCCTAAAATTGGCCAAATCCGAGAATAAAAAAGGCAAAAAAGGCCGATAAGTCAAAATATACTAGTTTATTTGTAGGTTCTGCTATAAAAATTCCATTTGTTTTATTTTTGCACTATTTCAAATTTAATTAGGAAGTATCCCTATCTTAAATTTTAGCCGGCCAACGCAATTAAGAAAAACTAAATCACGGAATTTGTCCAGAAAAAATGACCGTCTGGCAGCCCTGTTTAAAAAAAGTACAAAAATGAAATAATAGTACAAGATGAAGCAATCGTAGTCAACGTGTTAAAATGTAGACTCCGAAGTGGTACATATGCGCACCACGAAGTTTATTTCTCAAGGACGTTGTGATAAATAGATTAGGGTTGCCAGATGGCCTTAAAAACGGCAAAGTCCGCGAACAAAAAAGGCAAATAACTCAATATATAGTGGTATATGTTTAGGTTCCATTGGGAAAATTCCATTCCATTTTTTTGCAATTTTTTAATTTTAATTAGGGAGAACCCCTGTTATACGTTTTAGCCGGCCAATACAATGGAAAAAACTAAATCGCAGGATTTGTCTGGAAAAAAGTCCGTCTGGCAATTCTGCTTCATAATACTAAAAACGAGGAAACAATAGTACAGGATGAAGCAATCGGAGTCAACGTGTTAATGTTGATATTATTCTCAGTAAATTGTTGCACGGCTTCACCTTGAATGAAGTTTGCATTAGGCTAACATTATTATGGTCTAGATTTTTGTCCTCCTTAACCTCTGAAAATGGCAAAAGTGCTAGTCGAAGCAGATACAGCAAAAAACACTCAGATTACTAAGAGCTTAGGTTGAAAGTGGTTAGTAATGTTAACATCCAAAAGAGTAACATAATTCTGAAAATATTCCTAAAATAATTTCGGAGATGAGGGTAATGGTAAAGCAAAGACTCAAGAATGGACAATTAATTTGTACTAGTACTAGCTTATCGCCGAGGAACAACAGGGGAGTAATATTCAAATGACCCGTAATTATAGAAAAAAAACAGATACTACAATGTCAGATGAGCTGCTCTGTGAAGTCAACTTTTCTTCATGAATCTAATAAGTTTATTAAGATAAAACAGATATCTCTGATGAAGAGACATTAGGCAACGTAAATTACCCTGTAGGCCAAACTGTTGCGGGTGTCGGGGTCCTTAACAGTGAGGGTTGCGAGAACCTGGTCGAGGGGCGCGCCCTCGGTAACCTCGACTGTCCACTCCGCTCGCCCCCACCGCGGAGGAACGTCGTTCTCATCCGCCACTAACACCAAAACTTCACAGGAGCCTGCAGTGGGCGATAAATGGAGTCGGGTGAGATGTGTGAGAAACAGAGGTAAAGATAAAGATTTTATGAGATTATTGTTCAAAAAATTATAAAAAACTATTTATAAATAAGGAAATATTTCTTTTATTCTAAATATGAAGACGCTCAAAGTAAACGACTGCCTTTAAAATAACTCTCAGGAATGATTGCTATATAAATATCCTCAAACTGCCTTTTTTGCGGAATTTTTAAAATTCATATGATAGAAAAAACTCAAAATTTCACAATGCAGTTCATAAATAACTCAATGCGGAGCTCATATACAACGACGGGGGTTAGGAATTGAATGCAATCTTCAGCAATCTTCATGTTTAACGATACATTATTCGAGTCATAAATACATATTATTCTTACTGGTGATGAGTATGGACGTGGAAATAAATCTTAGCAAATTATTCATCAAAATATTTTCAATATTAGTCATGGAGTTATTGCTTGAGCTTAAAAAAGTGCAAGTAAATATACAGTTGTCATTTATAATTCATTATAGTGAAATTTGTCATGGTAGGAAAATTATTCATATTAAGCACTGGAAATACTTTTTGAAAAGTAATCTGTAGGTAGCGTTTAAATTGTATTTCACCTTGTCAGAGTGAAATTACTTTAAAATTACCATTCAATGTGCCATAAGATTTATTTAGTTGAAGTAGACAATTGCTAACCTTGCAATCCACCTCCATCTGTAGCAGCAACAGTTAGGCTGTAATGACTCGCACGTTCTCTGTCCAGACAACACATGGCTGTGCTGATGCTGCCTGTCGAAGCATTGACGGTGAAAATTGCCAGGCCAGTTTCTTCGTCCACAGCATTCTTTTGCAGCGAGTAAATCAGCTTAGAATTGGACCCTTCGTTCTTGTCGTCGAAGTCTTCGGCTGTTATCGTGACTACAGGCGTGCCTGGTTTACGGCAGGAAGCAAACGAGGACGGTTATGGCGATGGCAAATTCCCAAGCGACGAGCTCTGACGGTGAGTGCAATATGTTCAAAAATAGTAACCTTAAGGAAGAATCAAAGCACTTTTGTTTGCAGAGAATAAAATGCTTTATAGGGAAAATGATGCCTTAGCATTCTTCAGTTGCACGAAATTCTTTGAAAGCGTCGCGACGACGTTAAAGGCCTCCATTAGAATAATGCACTGACGGTGCATCATCAATATGAAAGGTTCAGAGCTTTTTGCAAGCTGTCGATTGCTGCCGAACAAAGGAGCCTTAAGGGCTTCCCAGCTCATGAGAAAAATGCTGTCACAATGAAGTCAGCTTGATCATCTGTTGCCATTGTCTTTAAAGGCACTGATCGCAAAGTATTCCTGTATTCATTATTGTTATTATTATTATCTTTATTATTATTATTATTAATATTATTACTATTAATGCTATTATTATTGTTAACGAGTATATTAATTTAGAAAAGTTTAAGATATTAGAGTTCAAAGTAAAGTTTAAAGTTTAGTTTCTATTAGCTAAAATGAACACATGAATTAATGTTGAAATCACTTCATTAATACTTCATTCATCAATTCATTAATAATACATTAAACGATTACCAAAAAAATCTGTGATGCATTTTATAATACGTTCGTAATTTTCAACGAACGAGAAGTAGTTTCCACAACCATTGAATTGGTATAAACCTTGAGGCTTGTTCACCAATATAATCACAATTTATAAAAAGAATCAAGAGAAGCACAAATGAATTCCACTCGTACTACAAATTTCTTTTTATCCCAAGTCCGTGAACGGATGGCTCCTACAGCCAAAAACTCACCACTAGGAGAGTTCTCAATACAGCAAATAACTCACCGCTAGGAGAGTTCTCAATAACCGTAGCCTCGACACGTGCAGTAAGAAACACGGGTGCGTTGTCGTTAATGTCTTTGAGGTTGACCACAACTTCGGTGTCGGCTTGCAGCTCCCCGTCTGACGCGGTCACCACCAAGCGCCACGTTGCACGCCCGTGAGGCGGGTCGCGATCTAGGGGCTGATGAAGGTGAACAATGTTATAGAGTTCAACTTTCCGGGGGTGATCGATATTTTTAGAACAATCGTTTGGCAATCTAGGAATAGTACAATCATGATCAGAATATTGCACTTGTAGAGTAATTCTCCATAATAAAATTATAAGAGGAAGTCAGTAAATTAACGAAAACGTTCGAGAAGTCATTTGGCGCTCATATAGTATTAATCAGTGGCTGCTGAACCCGGCCCTGCTTTGGATGGATAATCCCTGATATATGTAAATTCTGTTATGAAATCCCATTCTTTATATCGATTCCTATGATCCGGTTTCCTATACTAAAATTCTCACTGATTTGGTTTTCAATGCTACGTCAGAAATTTCCAAATTTATGTAATGCATATTTAAAATATCCGTTTTAGAGCTGGACTTTTAACCTCTTGAAAAGACCCGTTTGGTCCTTACGTGACATGGAATTTCCATTATAAATTTACTTATTCCCTTCCCGTTTTATAATGTCTCATAGTTCCATTTATATATACACACGCAATATTTCCAGCATCATTATTTAAACACACAAGTATTCACAGATATTTTTTATTGATAGTTGTGATCCTAATAAATATTTCATTATTCTCTAAACGCTGTCACTTCGATGAGCATATAAATTAAATAACGATAAGCGCCACAACATATCATCGAATGGCCAGCAAAGATGAAACAATTCCCACCTGCATGACGTTTATGGTGCCTGTGACCGGATCAATTATGAAGGCAGCTTCTTTTCTCTTCTTCGATGAATGAGTGTCATGAAAATGTTCATTTTCCGAAAGTAAATCTGGATCTATAGAAGAAAAGTTATGATTGCCTTCACTGGGGACTGTGTTATGCAATGTCTTAGAAAGGCCTTCTACAACTCTATTAGAATTGTGTACGGCTGATTCTGGGATATTATAAGTAGAAAACCGGACCTTTCCAGCTATATTCGTTCTGTTTATTGCACTTGAGTCACTATTTACAGCTAGTATATGGCTATTTAGATCTATTTGATGACTCGCTATGGATGCATTGGCACCATTCACTGCTACACCTCCTGGATCCAGGAGAGGTGGCGACCGGTAATGTCCTTCGTTCTTCATAAACAAAGTCGCAACTCTGCGCTCGGTATTCGGTTTATGCTGTGCGGCTCCGTCACGGTGCATTTTTCCTCGTCGCTTGGGGCCATATTCGATCGAGGAGGATGCGGCTGAGATCTTCATGCCGGGGAAATGATCGGAGCTTGGGAAGTTATCAGAAGCTGCGGTACCGTCCCCAGAAATAGAATACCGCAGCACTCCCCACTCTCCCTTGTCTCCATCAGTAGCTGTGACCTGCCCACGAAAAAGTTTTTGCGTTGTTTTTACGATTAAGTGTGAATAGAGTTGACAGAAAGCCCTAACTACGACAAAAACAACAGTTATAATATCATGGAAACTTAAATAGGGAGAAAATATTAATGAACGCAATACGATTTGCACGGTATACAATGTCAAATATCCTCTTCTAGGATAATCCTCCAAATTATCCCTCGAGTCCCAAGCTTACTTTATAATATCAGTATTAATAAATAAATAAATTAATTAATTGAAATAAAGCAACAGAAAATACCACAAAACTGCTCAATATTTTCAATATTCGAATAAAAATATAAACGGTTTTGAGGTCAGCGTCATCATCTATTCAGTCAGTGCATCCTGTCAGTCATCCAATCAGTCAGTGCATCCAATCGCATCCTGTGAAGTCCGGTGGCCGAACTATCCAAACTTGCTCAAGTACACGTAGCGGCCTACGCACACGTAGCGGCCTATGCACACGTAGCGGCCTATGCACACGTAGCGGCCTATGCACACGTAGCGGCCTATGCACATGTAGCGGCCTACTCTCACGTAGCGACCAATTTCTCGTCTGGGATTGAAGGGTCTAGCCTGAGAAGCCGTCAGTGATTGGCCGATGGAGCCAAAAAATCTTGACTATTTATGATACTGCGGCCAGAGTCAGAGGTACATTTTGCACATTTTATTCGCCTTTTAATTCCGGGTTAAAACACAGGGAACAATTTGACCAATAGTATAGAACATGTCAAGCATATTAATCAAATGCCGAAATTCTTCAATTTCAGGCCGCATCTTCATTATTTTTGACTGAATTGAGATAAATTTATGATCTAGTAATTGCGATGATTTGTGATGAAAAAACTTACAATATAAACTGACCGTAAATACGGGCCTGGGCAAGTTGTGGTTATCTTCTTCAGTTATTTGCGCCTCATGTCGCTGGACGGCGAAGACTGGCGAGTGATCGTTGGCGTCAAGCACCTCGACTGTCACGTGAGCTTCGTTGCTGCCGATCTCATCCTTGCTCGTTGCTATCACCGTCAGGTTGTGCTGAGGAAAGGAAAAGCCCGCTTATTCTAAACAATTTTGGAAAAAATTCAATTGAAATTTATGCATTTATAAAACTATATCATCGGCTGAATATAATATTTTCTGTATTATCCGTATTATTTATAATGTTAGCGCAAAGGAATGATATTCAGCATTGCCAACGTGCGTAAACAATCTTGAATCTATTCTCGTTGGATCATATTCATATATTTCTGCCGAAACGTTATCCCAAAAATACAATGTTTACCAAATAATCCCTAACAAAAAATAGTATGTCCCACCACATACAATTCTATCCATCAGCCACTCCGTATTCATATATAACCACCTCAACTTTCAGCTCCCATCCACTTTGTTCAGAAATGATCTCCATGCAAGTCTCAGCGCAATTTCTTCATCCAATTGACTTACAGAAACCCTCGCGTCGTGGCTGCTGCCCTCAACCAGCCCTCTGATGGCACGGCACTCGAGTCTCTCCCTCACCTGAGTTTGGTACTCGAAGTCGAGGGGACCAAGCAGCTGCAGGGCGCCTGACTGAGGGTCCACTCGAAAAAGAGGGGAAGCGCTGTCGCTCACAAGCTTGTAGAGCACGGCCGCCTCTACCGGGAGAGAGTCCAAGGTTCTCGTGATTATGCGCAGTTATATTGATTGATAAGAAACGTCTGCGTAACTGCCCGACATTAGGAAAAGTTAACAAATTATTGCTGTGGGAGAGGATAAGCCATACTTGGCGAAACATGAGCAATGAATTTCATTACTGTTTCCATTTACAAAGTCTCGCATAGATCGACTGGTTTCTCAGGGTGGAATAATTCGACACGCGTTGTGGTTCTTGCCAACGGTTTCTGGCAAGTACGAAATGTACTTGACTTGACGTTAGTTAAATATATTAAGAATAATTCAAACATATGAAGTTTTTGCCCGATAATCATTCAAAGTGCAAGGCAAGTATCGCAGGCAGAGGTTAAGTGAATAAAAGTCACTCAATTATTGAGGTAAAGTTCTGCCTACGGGACTGGTTCGGTACCTCATCGTCAAGTGCTGCCTCGCCCAGCTAAAATGCCAGGGTAAGTTACGGTTCCGGACATATATGTATATAGGGTCATAACCAATACCTTACTTTGAGAGCACAGGCGAAAAGCCTTAACAACTTTTCTAAATACTTCTTATAAAGCGGATAACGACGGCAAAATAAATTTCTAAAGTTTCCATCATCGGCAGAGGTGATGAATGAGGGAAAAAATAAAGTAACCCCTAGGATACAAAAAAGAATAAAAGTAATAAACAAAAGCCAAAAATAGTGAATGCTTTAACGTACCTGGAATATTGACTGGAATATGTAAAAAATTGACCGTTAGGCTATCTAAAAGCCAAAGTTTGTAAACACAGAGAACGGAAATTTGAAATAATATTATAAGCAGTAATTACTTGTTAGGCTCAAATCAATTTTTAATTACAAATGAGCTTTACTTTGCAGATTGGATTTGTAGACAAAGTAAGTAATACTTTTTTTCTGTACTTGGACTTGATTCAGATCTGATAAGAAATAACTTGATTATAACTGAAAATTGAAATAGCAATACCCTTTAGGACCATATTTATATCAATGTAATGTTTGTTTAATTTGTTCATGAATCAACCTGCTTACCTCGTTTGTCTTCAAGAAATTGCGGGATACCATTAAGAAGAGCTAAACTTTCTTTTTTTTCACGGCTCAAAGTTAGCCGTGCGAACATATTCATTCCATAAATAATATCACGAAAATTCATTGATACATTGATAATACTATGGTCGCATCTACTCTTTCTCATAATGAACTCTTCACGAGAATTAACCTTCATTGATGATTTAAATGAATAAACCATTTAATGCAAAGCAGATTATTTACGGTGCAAAAATTTGTTCAAGATTACAACTAAATCTTTGAGGCCTATTGAGCATATTTATCGTGATGTAAAATTACATTATGTTATAATGTTAATAACACTGGTGCCTTTAGGGAAGCCGACCGCGGCGCTGAACAGCATTTCCAAGGCAATCTCTGAGGGTAATGTAATTTTATTTCGAAAAGCTTTCAGGAAGCACGAAGTTTAAACTTGCGTGCAAAATATGAAGGATAGAAAATTCGATCTATATATTGTCAAAACTTTTCGCCGATATCTAAAATGCTAAAAGCTTAAAGGTTATTGTTGAGACTGCTTAGGCAGGTAATCATAATAATAATAGAAAACTAAATTTCAAACTTTAAACACATTCTATATGCTGTAATTTTGATTTGAGGAAATAACTTCTAAAGACGTGGGTCTTTAACACATAAATCACAAGTACAGAACATTTCAAATGTAAAATAAAATATTTAACTGGAGTCAGGCAGAAAAAACAGATTTCTTCAAGTTTCATAATTCTAAAGTTAACCATGCGGTAAAATGTCAAAATTGTAATTAGACGATCAGCATATGACAATTCTGCGCTTGTGCTACAGATATATTTTGTCGAGTTAATCACGATTATAGCTGCATAAATGGAAATATGCATTTTCATCTAACACCGAACGTTCAAGTGTATTTTGTGATCTAGAATCAAGAAAACAGAAAGCTATTGATAGTTTCTAAAAACAGTACCAAAAAAATATTATCCGATAGAATAGACTAGGAACAAAAGTTACTTCATAGGTTAAAACTACGCACAAAATTTTACGCACCCTCATGGGGAGAAACTGCCTGTAGTAGAAGTATGGTGCCCGGGGCGGCCGCCTCAGACACCTGGACTACGTAATTCTTCTGGCTGAACTGAACCGACTGGCCGCTCATGAGCTGCGTCACTGCAACACAAGGTTTAGTCTGCAGGTTGTGTTCAAATTTGCATTAAGATTTACTTATTTGGAGCTTTATACTGAGAATAGCATGCGAATAGTGAATGTTAGTTGGCGCAGAATATTATTCACTTGCACTGATAATTAACCTCTATTCATTCACAAACATCAATTCCCAGTTATTTTCCTTTATAACACTCAACTAAATTGCTCTCAAATAATGTAAATAGGTCGGTAAAAATATGAGTCAAAGCTCAAATGGTAGGACAAAGGCATTAAACAGATTTGATTGGATTTAAAAGCAACCATGATAGAATGTTTGATTTTTGTATGCCTTACTTAGCAACGAAAGCTCAAATTTCTTATAACTTGAATTCGAAGACCAAAAACACGAATTAATGGCAAAGATTCCATGCTAGCAATACAAAAAGTTTTCACCCATTCTTATAATCCAATTATTGAACTAACATCAGCCTGTCACTAAATCATTACCGCGTTAATTCAGTATCACTGCTTGCCTATAAGAACAAGTTTTAAACTTTCCGAATAAATCGATGGATTGACCTTAATTACTAATTAAGAAACATATTTTTACGCTGTAAGTAAAAGAAAAATAGTCGAGTGCTAGTGTAAATCATTTTCTGTCTTTTATCTCTAAAGTCGTAAAAAGTTTCATATGTTTTTCTACACTCAGTTAGAAGGAAACTTAATCGAAAATTCTCCACAAAACGGTCGCTTATAACAGTCAACACCGGCGCAGCATGATTGCCTCTGCAGATTGATCACTTGTTTTCATTTCAGGCTGCCAACAATCTATCATAAGAGAACGATCGTATTCATGGAGACTGCTGCTGATAAAATACGAAATACTTTTATTCTGTGGATTATATAAACGAGTGTTCAGGCATCGGATAACTCGAATGTAGTAAAACATTAAAAAATTATTTAGAAACGCATTGAAGAAATAAATAACTTTTAGCTGCATTGACATTAAAAATAATAATGTATAAAGAGAGCCAATGCGAAGTAAAAATTAAATGTTTGATCGTTAGGTATCAACGCTTCCCAGGAAGTTTTGAGTAAAAAGTACGAAGGAAAATATCGAATTGGTTTACGTGAAGTTATTAAAAATCTAAAGTTGCAATTATGACTGTAAATCTTTTACACTGATGTTTCCGTAGAAATAAAAAAATATAATCGCGTACGTTTACGTTTATCCACTCTTTTCAGCGCATTTTATAATTTATGAAAAAATGCACTATTATGCTCGCCATGTCCGTCTGTCCGTCTGTCTGTCCGTCCGTGACTTCATGTTTTCGTCGACGAGACGAAACATCGCGTCTTTGAAACGTTCAGCTACACACACTAGCTGTTATTCAATTAAATGCTTATCAGTAACTCGCTACGTTGATCTACTCTTTTTTCTAAAGTTTGTATGTTTGTTAAGGTGTTAGATGGCGTCCTTGAAACATGCCGCTACACGCACTAGCTGTTGTTCAAGCGCGTATCCACGATACCTACATTGTTGGAGTACGGCCGGGATCTGTAATCGGGCTCGAAAGTATGACGTCACGGCACCGAATTGCCAGATGCATTGTGGGATCGGCCGCCATATTTGTAGCAGGGTCTAGCTTTCGCTTACGTGTTAAATCTACTGCGATCATCTCTTTTTGAAGTTTTTGCTTGGAGATGGGACGCTACTGCACCGTTGTAGGATGTACCAGTCATTCTCACGGCCATTTAAACAGAAAAATATACAATGGAATGCGTTTATTCAGTTTACTAGACGTGAATGCCGTGTATATTGTATCAGTTTATGGCTCGTACGTGATATGCGTATCGCATATCAGTTTACCAGCCGTGAATATTCATTATATACGATACTATACATTTTTCAGGGGCAAAATCTGTTACTTGCCTTTAGATAAGCTACATAAGTAAGAATAAAACGTAATAATATTTACAGATCAGATAACATCGTCATGATCCATTATCCTGCAGCGATGATAGTGTTGTTGCAGTTGGCTGGTTTTGTTGGAAGATCAAAATGATTCTCTTTGTTCTATAACTTCAAATGTTTCGAGTTCTTTACATTGCCAATATCGGAATCGGTATTACTATGAGCCGTCCGAACCCTGGCTACCTGGTAAGCCTTGATAAAATTCTGCCCTTTTCCTCTACAAAAAGGTGAAAAGGAATTTTATTTTCCATTCTTATAATATTCCATTCATCAGCATCATTACCTTCGTCCAGTTGTACTACCAAACCATCTCTACCAGGTACATCGCCTTTCTTGATTCGTTGAAGTTTCGTTTCTCCATCGCCTGTACCCATCCATCCACAAATTGTTTGTAAGCTTCAAGCGTCTTGTATGCCTTGAATTCTTGCAAGGTGTATTGGCTGACCACCAAACGCCAAATAATTTAGTAAATCACCGTGTTAAACGGGAGGCAGGCTTGCAAAATCTGCACATCACGGCTTTGCCGGCACTTCGTTGGCATCAACATCGTTAATGTCGAACAATTTTCTTAAATATCGGTCTCTCACTGAAGGAAAGAGTTTTTGACAACAGCCTAATCCTTTCTGATTTGTTCTTTCTTTCTCTATTGCTATCAAAACGTCAAAATGTGTAGGAACGATAGAGTAAGCTGAGGCGCCAGTGTGATACAAAGATGGCGGTGTAGCAACGCGGCTAACGTGGATACGCGGGAGGTTGGCGAGCCGATTCCCAGTAGTGGAATCATGTGACCTTTCAAATCGTTGACAACGGGGGTTTGAAATAAGAAATACTAATTATATACCATCATTTAGTTCAATAATATAAAGTGAAAATTCGAAACTCGAATATCCGTCAATCGTCGTTAGTAGGGCTTGATGATTATTTGATTTTGATTTTTGTTGGATGGGATCATTCTCTTAATTATTAACAGATATAATTAACAACATACCAGTTCTGTTTTATAAAAAAATCTCAGCATAATTAATCCGAAGCAATGGCTGCTAAAGATCACTCGGAAAACGTTAAACCATTTTACTAATGTTCAGGACTTGACAACAATGGCTTCATTTGATGTAGAAAATTTGTTTACAAATATAACACTTCTTGAAACTATTGAAATCTGCCTCAGTTCTTTGTTTAAAAGTGTCAACAACTGTGTCATGGGTGTGAATCGCAACTGTTTTAAATCGCTTCTTGAATTTTCTGTATTATGCTCAATTTTTGTATATGCTGGCAATTTTGTAAGCAAATTGATGGTTTGGGCATGGGTACCTACCCTCTTGTCCATGCTTTTGCTAACATTTTCATGTGTTTTCACGAAGCCACATGGCTGGCCAATGGTCCTCTTGATTTCAAGCTAATGTTCTATTACCGGGACGCAGTATAGACCGCTACATAGCCCTTGCCCACAATTCAATATCTATTCCTTTCCGCTCGTAATCACGCTAGAGGGCATATTAGCCTGTGTGATTAAGTGCCTAAAGCCATAGGCGTCATTTCCTTTCCTGGATATGAATCAATCAGCCAAATAACATCAAGCCACCGCAGCAACAGCCGTGGGCAAATAGCCAAACTGTTGCGTGCTTGTATTAAACACAGCCTGGCGTATTCGCGGCTTTTGAAAATAAGCGCCCGACATAACAGCGCCGTTGCGTCACAGCCACTGCTTCATGGCGCTCTACTCTACAGGCTAAAGCGCAAACCGCCGTCCCTATAACGCCATGCCCCGGCTCTCCCCCTTCGCAGCCAGCAG